GTGGTGGACTGGCCCGTCGCTCTGCTGCCCCGGTGGGGCACTCGCTGCAGCAGGTGGGTTTCGCAGTTCCTGCGCTGAGTCTGTAGTTTTCCCCTTGCCCTGTGTCTCCTGGGCTTTCGCCATCCCTTCGTGTCCGCCGGGACGATCCGTCCCGACGGCCGCAGCCCCTGGTCCCCCCCTGCAGCCCCGGTCAGCAGGGCGGGGGCACCCCGCGACCTCTCCGGGGCACGGGGGCTGGGGCCCTTAGGGGCGGCTGCCCGGACTCGCCTTCTGTGGGGCTAACGGGGAGCGTTCCCTCCTTGCTTCTCCCCCGGACTCCCTCCCCCCGGGCCTGTCCTTGGAAACGCTGTTTGTTTTGGTCGGCGAGTGCCAAACTCCTGCCTTTGCTAACTGTTAAAAACATGGGGCCGGGGGTGGAGACAGGCAGTGAAACAGATGGAGGAAGAGGAGGAGCCGCCGGCTCCCCTCGCTGTCGCTCCCCCTGCGGGGGAGGGGAGCGGGCAGGACGTCCCCGGGCTCCCCTCGGGAGCCGCGGTCCCTCGTCCCATCACCGACCTGTTTGGGCGGAGGTGACTCCCGCGGGCAACGCTCAGGACACTCGGCCACATCTCACTCTCGCCGATACAGTTTTTTAAGCCTTCACGAAGTTTCTCTTCAAAGGGAAGAGCTGTGGAAATAGAAAGCTAAAGGGGAGAAGTGACGGCTGTAAGCTGTGAAAAATGAGGCGGGAGGAAATGCAAGTAACTCTTAACAAAGGCTCTTTTCTGTTCTCGTGTCTTGGGTGCTGACAGAGGTGGAGTCAGTGAAAGGGAAACTCGAGACCAAATGAGATTCAGTCGGTGCCAGCTTGAAGATAGTAAGAATGTGAGCCCAGCAGAATAAACAAAGTTAAGACCTTCATAGTGGTAGAACTGGACAGAGCACTCATAAGTTTCTGTGTCCATGTGCACTTCGGCTGAACAAAGCAGGGCTGTGGAAAACCTTTCCTTGAAGATGGTATCTGAGGAAGAAACCCAACGAATGGTGAAACCATCTTCCTCCTTCCTCCCCCCAGGTGTTTCATAAAACAACTTCTAAAGCAAATCTTCCTGAATAAAAAGCGTGCTTGTGTCTTCTAAAACTAACCTGATATTGCAGTCTTGATAAGTTCTAAATGAAGAATTGAGTTGGGTGATGCAGTAACCAATTAGGAGCAAGATGCCTCTAAGCATTTTGTATTCCTTTTCTTTTTACTAAAAATAATTTTTTCATTGTTAAATTAGCTAGAATCTTGGTACATGTAGAACTTGGGGTTGGTACATGTAGGTACTTTTTGCTTGGTCTCCCAAAGAGTTTAGTCCTTAAAAAACCTTACGGTATGGTACTGATTGAAAGAAAGCAAATGGTGTGATGAAGCCCACTGTGAAGGTGTCTAACCTGATATAAATATAAAGGTAGGTAGTCTTTAATGCAGCAAAGTAAAGCAGGTTGTAAGCTCAGGCTGACCCTTCAATAGAATAGGTGGGATATTAATATGTATATTAAAACAACAGCCTCATATGTAATAATTAATGAACAAAAAAATATAACAAGATGGTGTTGTTTATCCAAGATGGTGGATTACAAAGAGAACTTGCAAGGCTGAAGGGCTTTCTGAAATATTTTTATGTGACCATTATGCTAATTGAAACTTAAAGTTCCAAATTAACTTGGCCATTAGTTATTAATGAGAACTTATGTGCTATCTACAAAACATAAGGAAAATCAGCTCTTCCAGTGCATGCTATAAAGCAAAGACTAAGTGACTCAGTTGTCTATTGTTGTAACTAATTAGAAATGCCATTTTTGGTTTGAACTTACCTTTCATATGCTCAATGACTGTATTTTTGACTAAGTGTTTTAGATGCCCCTGAGGTTCTGCTTGTATATTCATGTATGTTCAGTTTGATGTGTTTATCTTTTAAACTTAAAATTTAGCAATAATATTCTGAATCTGCAGTGTACACCCATTCTTGCTTCCCACTGTGTTTGAAGCATTCTACTAGGAGATGTATTTAGTGTGGCAAAAGATTGCAGTGTTTTTTTTGTGTATCACCTTCTGTTGCAGTGTTGAAACTTACTTAAATTAAGTCTTCTGAAGCACTCCACTGACAACTCTGCTGTCTGCATGTGTGCATATATTGTAGGAGTAGGTCTTGATTCATCAAAATGCCATGGGCCTCTTTGAAATGCAACTATTTGTTGCCAAAAGATCCTTTTCTAGGACTAGTGCTTAAGGACTTAGTGTAGACTTCTAATTCTACCTTAACTACTTGATCTTCTTGGAAATCAAGATGGGGTGGAAAATGGCAGTGCTGACTCTTCTTCATGGCTGATTTAGTGCCTCTCTCAAAAGCACCTTGCAAAGCTGAATGTTTATTAACATTGTCATACCTAGAGGTAAGAGGAAGTTCATGAAATGACGTGTAAATTGTGTTTTGATGGTCATTTACCTTCTTCCATGTTCTTAACACCTGAACTGCACTGAAGTGCTCATACTTGGCAAGTGATTTGCAAGACTTTGGGCCCCTACACTGCAAATGACATTAATCAAATATTTTGATGAACCACGTGCTTCAACATTAATCTTTCGGAGTTTAGTTATTTGTATGGAAATAAAGGGGTGTTATATAAGATTAAAGCCTGGAAATAGTGTTCTTGGTTGATCAAAAATTAGTTGGAAGGTAGTAAAAGCTCTGCAGGCTCTGTACAGTGTTACTGTATTTAAGTGAGAAGTTCAACATGAAGAACCTCAAGTATGTTCTATAACTAGTTTGTCACAACTGGTTTCTGGTCAAAGCACTAACTTTGAGTTAGTAACACAGATTTTAACTGAAGAAATAATTTGTGTCTTCTCTAGCATTAACTAGTGACCCATTTCTTAACTTGTAACTAAAATACAATTTCCAAGCCAAAATATCTCTGCGTTTTGGGGTTTTTAGGTTCTCTTGTAACTGTCTTGCTTAGCCAATATTGTTTTAAATATTTGCTTGTTAGAAATTACAAAATTGCTATTCTAATAAGAGTTTTGATGCTTAGGATCACAGGTTATGCTGCAAGTTCTGAATGCATCACCTCTATGTTCTAGCCAAGTGTCTCTTACTAGGCTCCTCCAGTACAATGCTAAATGGATAGCTGTGTTCTTGCTAATGTGACCAGTTCTTTTCACAAAAAATCCCAGCGCAAAGTATGACATAAATAAGGTGCTCAAGTGCATCCTCTTTCCTCTTGGGAGAGGAAGAAGAGTAAACATACGCTTAAGAAATGTTAATCATCTTAATTAACAGAGGAGTGCTCATTGGTGTAGTAGCTCATCAAGTTATAAAGGCCTATTCAGGATGAGTTGGTACCCAAGCTGTAACTAGGTGCCAGTATTAAGAAATACTCATTTTCACTACCTTCTGTCTGTCCCAGGGCCCCACAATATGTTGATTCAATAAGTACAGACAAAGATCATCCTTTTATTGCCAAAAGTGTATTTTTTTCCAAGTTCAGCAGTTGCAGAGTGTGGTATCCCCTGCCTACTGAAATTGAAGTGGTTTAATAATAAATGAAATTATATATTAGTTACATTTGCTGATGGAAACCATTGCTGGTTATGCCTCTTCATAAAGTCCACTGCAGAATGCTTCATGGCCATAATCAGAGACGGACAGCTACTTTTGGTATCTGGGCCAAATTCCTTTGGTAGTAATCACAGCTGACTTCCAGCTCCTCATTTTAATATTATTAACATATTTTTCACTTCCTGTCATGCAGTTGTTAATCATCTGTATCACACTATGCAGGTGTCCACATTTTCTGCAACTGCAGATTATCTGCCTGGGAGGCAGTTTCTTTACATAGGCAGAAAGACTGTGAAGCACAACACTTCTCAGAGGAGGTTGTCTGTGCTAAATAGAATGTTAGAGGCTCAGAGTTGACATTTGACTTAAACTAGAAAACCTATCACCTTTACTGCTAGGAACAGTGTTTTTTGGGTCTGGGCCATTGTTGATCTGAGCACAGACCCACCTAAAGCAGCAGGCCAGACTTGCAGCTACACCCTGTTAGAAATGTTACATTCTGAATTACTTGCCTGTTCTCCCCCTGCAACTTCTGTGTTTGCATCACAGTCCTTACACTCAGCTTGTTAGTGGAAGGAAACTCATTGCTAAACACCACTTCATAATGAAGTCAGATGGGGGATGGTAACATCACGAGATGCTTTTATGTACATTGAAAACTACCAAAAGTCTTGCAACAAACAGCTTCAGGGGTTCCTGTGGGTAGTCTTTCATTTTTTTGAAATATAACCAGTTTAGGAATGTCTCCAACATAATCGTTAAAGTATGAAACAGCTGAAGTTGCAAAGCTCATGGATAACTACATAATTCTGCATGTCAAGCCAGATAATTTCTTTTACTTTTCCTGTTTAGGAAAGGCAACCACTTGATCTTCACTCACAATATAATGATCAGTAGCATGTTTGAGAAGCATACAAAAATAACTGCTGGTTTTATGGGAATTGCGTTTGTCTTCCCAGGTCTTGTTTACTGTGTAGATAAGGTAAAGGGAATCAGAATGCCTCTCAATGATGACCAGAACAGTGACTCAGATTCTTCACGCCTCTCGGAAAGCACAGCTTCTTCCAGCGACTCGGAATATTCCAGGCAGAGCTTTAACAGTGATTCTTCAAGCAAACCCAGCTCCCCAGCGTGTAAGCCTATTTCAGCCTTACCTGCATTGTGCATGGACCAATAAGGCTAACTTACCTTGTTTCTCTTTGCTGTCGTGGGTAGAACCTGGGATTCTGAATCTGTTTAAGAGTATTATGAGAGAGGCATGGCTTTCTCTCTGCTGTGAAGCAGTGCATCTCCTGTGTGTGGAGCACCACCAGCAGCTGTATCCATGGGCACTCCTTCCCTTCAGAAAGTGTAAGAAAAGTGTGTCACCATGGTCTTTCTAACCTTGACATTGGTAGCAGTCTCCCACTCAATCAGATATGCCTTGTGCAAAGGGTGGGTTTCTTCTGTTTGATCCCTGCACTTAAAAATTAATGCTGTAACTTATAGATGTTATAATACCATATCAAGTTACATGTAATTAATCTTGAATTCACATTTTTCTTTCATAAATACTAGAATCAAACAGAAAACATACATTTGCACAAGGAAGATAATTTGGGTAATGGTAAAGAAAACTTTGGTTAAGATGTGGTTCATGTGTGTCTGTAAGCATTTGCAGACCGTGCTCCTTACATCTACGTAAATAATCTTACATTATAACAAGCTTGTTAGTGGAGCTGCGGTTGGCACCTGGCTCTTCATCTTTCTTTCTTACCAGTCTTCCAAATACTAAATTAAATTACAGAATTTGAGGATTTAAAAATGTTGGGAATTTGCTCGTTTTCCAGTGTAGAGTTTGTTTTGTCATCACTGTTAACTCCTGAAAAAATGAGTGTAACTGACATTCCACAGCAGATCAAAGATCTGCTGATCTTAAGTGGGGGTGTTTGCAAGTCAATAACTTCAGAACCTTTTCAACAGGGAATATAGCCATCATGTGCTCATAATTATAGTGGACCTCTGGTATCTCTCACTGCCCATGCTTTTGGTTGGGTGGCTTTGACAGAACAGTTAGTAGGAAATCTGTGGAATGCCAGATCCCATTTTAAAGGAAAGAAGATATCTTGGTTCAGATGTGGAAATACGCAAATGCTCCTCAAAATGTTTTGAGGCTTGTGTGGTATTTCCCCACAAACACACACACCCCTGATAAGCTGGGAGTTTCCTGAGTTAGTGTTTTAGGAAGATATAAAGACTTGGTAATCTTGTGTTGCTTCTTCTAGAGTACTGGAGTCCAATTAGCAAGCAGTAAAATTTTAAGGTTTTAGTATATTCCATTGCACTTACCAGCTATAGCTATTTGGCTTGAATTGATCTTATTTGTTCCAGCAGCAAGCCCTCCCAAGGTTATCACGTTTGATGAACTGATGGCAGCTACAAGAAATCTGTCAAACTGGACTCTAGCTCATGAAATTGCTGTAAATGCAAATTTTTGCATAAAACATGAAGACTACCCACAAAACAGGTAAGAGCCTGAATTTTGCAAAAAGCAGTGCTGGTGTTGGAAAGAGAGGAGAAATGAATGGCGCAGTCCAGACCATGTTTTGCGAGCTGATGATCCACCACCCAAGAATGATGTGGTTGCAGGGCATAATATCTGGGGGAGGTGTGTTTCCCAACAAGTGATCAGTTCCATCTAAAACTGTTACAAGGATGAAAGCTAGTTGGGAGTTTTTTCCATAACTAATTGACTTCTTCCACAGCTTTGCAGGCACAGTGAAACAAATTGTACACAAGGCATTCTGGGATCATTTGGAATCAGAACTGAATGAAGATCCTCCAGAATATGAACATGCTATCAAGCTCTTTGAGGAAATTAAGGAGGTAATGTTCTTCCTTCTTTGTACTGTTTTGTCATCTTAGCTCACTGAAGGGTCTCCTTAACTTAGTTGAACCAACATCTTCTGGTTCTTCCTTTTATAGTATGAAGCCATGATTATTCAGAACTGAAAATAGATGTCTCTTTGTAGTATATTTTTATCAACCAGGAATATGGCCACAAACAAACAGGGGCATGTTCACTCAACTTTCACTGCACAGTTACTGGATGAAAGTCATCTCTTTTCCCTAAGCTTCACATCTCTACTAGCCTGTTTCCAGAATTATACTATGAGCTTAGGGCATGAACAAGAGCATAAACATGACTGCACATGCCCACTTAGACCTCATTGTTTGATTATTGCACAGGTGAGCATACAAACCTTCAATCCTGGCACAATACTAAGTCTTTCAAAATTTTAAGTTAGTAAATGTTTGTTTTACAGGGTAGCCTCCCAGCTTTTGAACAAGTCTAGTTGTTGACTTGCTTTTTGTTTTATTAGCTTTGAGAATTTTTGCAGAACTGTACTGTTTTTTTTCAAACAGTCCTTTTTTCTCCACTATCTTTGATAATGTTCAGTCTTAAAATGTCTGCTTATAATTTGTCAGCTACATGCACCTGTCATGAATATTAAAATTTCACTGAAATGTGTTTACTAAGTGATTTGGTTTTTATTAATAAGCTTTTCCTATTTTTCCCCCTCTAATTTAGATTCTTCTTTCCTTCCTGACTCCTGGAGCAAACAGGATTCACAATCAAATTTGTGAAGTTCTAGATACGGATCTTATAAGACAGCAGGCAGAACACAATGCTGTTGATATTCCTGGGCTAGCTAACTATATCATCAACACTATGGGAAAGTTATGTGCTCCAATAAGAGACAACGACATAAAACAGTTAAAAGCAACTGACAATATTGTAGAGTTACTGAGGTTGGTATTTGAGTGTGGTTTTTGGAGGAAAAAAACTCCTCTCTGAAAGAGTAGTAAACAGTGGAAGGCAGGGTGGTTGGGTGAAGGAAGTCTAAAATTGTCAGTTTGCATAACACCTGTTCTCAAACTATAGGAAAACTTCCTGAAGCGTTAGAGGAAGAGCTCTGACACATTGACCAGATGGTCTATCTTACTTTGTAAAGAAATGGGTAGGATACCTAGATGAAACCAGGCAGCTCTGAATATCTAAGCCAACAACTCTTGCAATAATCTGTTTCAGAAACTCTTTTTTTGTTCATTCTTAAAAAATGTAAGCAGCACACTTGTACTGTTTCTCCTTGAAGTGTTAATTGCATGCTTCTTCTGGAAGGCCAAACTTTGGATTTAAAAGCTCTTTAGTTAAGATTTTATTAATTGAACTTTAGTAAAACATTTGCATAACAGGGCAGAAAACAGTGCCCCTTAGGTACACTGAAATATTAAGAGTAAATGGTAGTTGTTCCACTGTGTATATATAGGGATCAAAGCAACTGTGTCAGAAGGATTGTTTCTCTTAATGCAATTAGGGACCAAAAAGTTAAAATCTGTTAATTTAGGCTACAATACACCAATTAATGTAGTTTTTGAAAAACCTACAGGGCTGTAGCATTTAGTGATGGTACATTAGTCCTGTTCTCCTTAACTTAGACCAAGCCTTAAATATACTACTTCTTCAAGAATTCAGATGATAGGTAACGTATCTGTTACTGTGAAATGCCAATGAAGGAGTTCACTTCTCCCAGAATTGAAATTAAAGTGATAATGTACGTGTGCTTAGCATGTGCTGGTGAAAATCAATAGACTAAATTAAAGTGTGAAAATTTAAATTCCTCTTTTCAGACAAATATTCCGTGTTTTGGACCTGATGAAAATGGATATGGCAAATTACACAATTAAAAGCCTTAGACCATACCTCTGGCATAACTTGGTGGACTACGAAAGAACAAAATTCCAGGAAATTCTTGAAGAAACACCAAGTATGTGTCATGCTATATTTAAGTTAAACTTTTCTTTGAAAAGAAGACTATTTAAATATATGCTGTGAAAACTCTATAAGTTGCAGTTAACTTAGAGGAAAACTTCAATTTCTTGTCTGTATCTGAGTAATGGGAAAAATTTTTCATAAGGAAGTTATCACTGGATGATTGCTTAACTTGCTGTCAAGTTTGTCTGTCTGCAACCTGGGGCAGTTACTGACAAACTTACATTTTCCAAATCAGTTGGTATCTGAAAAACAAGTGGTGATTCTTGCTGTCTGGATGCAGAAGCCCTACGTAAGATGAGACTTTTCTCTTTTGTGTGCAACAGTTCTGTTAGTGTGAAGTAAACATGTAAAACCAGTTTGTGTGCCTGAAAGCTGGAAGGGGTAGGATCAGTTTTTTAATAAACAAAAGGCAGGCTCTGAACAAAATTTCTTAGATGATGCAAAGTCAACTTGATCCACTATTACATGTTTTGTGCAATTTGGTTAAACAGTGTTCAGAAATATATCCTCCAAGAAGAGTTAAGTAAGCTTGCTAACATCTGGAGGAGGGGCTTCTAAAATGGGAGCCCTGAGCCACTGGTAGGACCTGCAGTGTTCATATATGCAGCCTGAGAAAATCTCTGCCACAAATCAAATGTTGTAATCTTCCTTCACCTCTACTTTTCGCTCTTATGCCCTATCTCATAAGTGGCCTCTGCGAAAAAGGGAAACCAATCCCTTTTGGGAACTCCAGCTTTTGAGTTCCCAAATAGAGACTTCCGTTACCTAAAAATCTTGACTGAAGTCTTAACAAGCTGTGGCTGGGTTTGTACAAACCAGGTAAAAAGGTGACCAGTGGAAGAAAGTGAGTGAGAGAATTATCATGTATGAAGACTGAGCTGTCCACTATGTTTAAGTCTTCAGAAGTTGAATTATCTTATATATACAGCTCACATTTTTCTCAAGGTAGTGCTTTATTTTGATGAAGGCATGCAGTAAATATGTGCTATTTGCAATGCTTAGGTGCCCTGAATCTCACAACAGAATGGATAAAGGAATCAATAGAAGATGAATTGTCATCTATTTCTGATGGGTCTTCATCATCCCCTGGTGCTGATTGTAGTTCAAAACCAATTATTAGTCCTACACTGGTGCTAAACAATGGCTACTTGAAATTGTTACAGTGGGATTATTGCAAAACAATTCCGGAGGTAAGAAATATATTTTGATGTCTTCAGATTACCAGCTATATGAAATCATTGGTGTGATATAATAATCCTGCTACTGATAACAGTAAGTGAATATTGTCTTGCACTCCTTAAATTTCTGCACAGTAAATTTGAAATTTGGAGATTATATTCTAGTCCAGTTTTTGAAATTCAAGATGGGCAAGTCTTCAAACAGAAAAGAACAAGGTAAAGGTTGTTCTCCCTCTTTCCAATCATAGCTCACCAGCTCCACCCCAAGAGCAATCTTTACAGTGGTCAGGTACAAGGCTGGCCCTTGTATTGACAGTACTTGGCTTTCTCTATCTTTAAAAGAACTGACTGTAGCACCCTGTTTTCCTAACAGCACCAGGAATTGGTGGGATCGCTCTGTAGAATAGAATCAGTAAAAACCTGAGGCCTCTAAAGTAGGCATTTACCCTTTCTCAGTGCATGTAAACTATTACTTCAAGACTCAATATTCAGTTTTTCCCTCAAGTTCCTGATTACTGACCTCTGCAACTTCCCATAAAGCCAGTGTGAAATTTGCCATTAGTCAGGGCTAAAATTTGCATTTCAAGGGAGGGCCTTAGCTACATGTAGGGTGGCCTGGCAGAGAATTTGCTAAATACATGGGGATGCTCTTGGTGTTCTCAGTCAGTGGACAGAAGTGAAACCACTTTTACTTTGCTGTGAACAGTTTTGAGTAAGAACTACGTGCAGATGTCCTCTGGTGGATCTTGCTTGCCATACTATTAAATTTGAAATTACAACCAAGTACAGTTGGATGTTAATGCCCCTGTGTTGCTCAGGATGAACTCTTTGTAACCTAAAATTAACTCCAGCTACATCTTGCTGTAGGGATTACTTATGTTCTTGGTATGATCAGCTGGCTTTTTGCCTGGAATGGGTTATGTATCACTTGTAGAACCTGCTCTGGTGGTTGAATTGGTGGTTGTCAAGCACAGTTATTCATTATTATCCATCAGTTACAAATCTTGGCAATTTTTCAAAAGACACCCAAATACAGAAGACTATTATGTCTGTAACTTGGTCATTACAATGTCCTCTGGATCCTCTGAGCATTCCATGTCATGGGCTGAATTGGTTGCAGATTTGTCAGCAGTGATGAGGAATAAGGGGCTATGTCCTCAGTTGCCTCATTACTTTTCTTCCCACCACAGGTTTACTTCTGGTACTCGTACATAATGCCACTTCATGCTATACTACATATTTAGGGTATTTCAGTTGCTGTATCCTCTGGGTTTATGTATTTGTGATTAAAAATAGTGCTTCATTACTATATCCTGGATCTGTCCTTCTCCTGTCTCTCTCCCTCCTTATTCCTAAATTAGTATTATTGTTTCAATTCTAGACTCTAATCACAGATGAAGTTCGTCTTCAGGAGTTGAGAGAAAAGCTCAATCAATTAAAAGTCATAGCTTGTGTTTCTCTCATAACAAACAACATGGTGGGTGCAGCAATTGTAGATGTGCCTGATTTTGCTGACCAGCTGAAAAGGATCTCCTTTCCTCTTCTTGAAGGCATGAACAAGAAGTAAGGCCTTGGTTTTTTTGCTCCTTTTTTTAGCTTCTATTTTTTTACAGGAAACAGTTGGAAAAAATTCTACTGTTATAGGTGGTGCTTGTTATTAATAGGAAGATACCAAATTTTAATCATTTATATATTCCCTTTATGATACAAGGCCACTATATGTTAGACACGTGTTTTCAAAGGTAGATTTTAATTAAATCCTGGTCTTGATGTTAATGTACAGATTCTGGAACCTAGTAGTAAAGTTCATTCATATACTTCTAATACTGGAGACACTGTGGCAGTGCATCCATTAAATCTTCTTGGGAGTTGTTTCAAACTTGTTATAGGTAGTTCAAGTTACTTGGCTGCCTATTTCTTTGTCTGCTTGTACTACAAGCAAGTCTGATCTATGTGACTGTCTTTTTAAAGAGTTTTCCACTCTGTTTTTTTCTCATTAAATGCTATGTACATGATCCAGAAAAACACCTAGCCACAATGATAAAGTGAAGAAGTGGTGTCACTGCTGAACACTTGAAATTACTTTTTCCATTTGAATCACATCTAGGTTCTTATTTTATCTTATTTTCCACATAGAGATTTTCCTGTATATCTAGATTTATATAAATCTGCAGCAAAAGATGAAAGCTTTTCAAAATTCTCATTGCAGAGACCAGGTTGAAAATAAAAGGGAAAGGAGACAAATGAGGACACTTTACAACGTATGCTATAGAAACTGCAGAATTTAATGCTTTTCTGTTTCTTCCAGAAGTTTTGACCTGAAGGAGGCTCTGAATGCTATTGGTGTCCAGATTTGCAGCGCAGTGAATAAGTCTCTAAGTGAAAGAGGTCTTCCCACTCTTAGTGAAGAAATGCAGAGTAATTTAATGGGTCAAATCGCTCATATTGTTGAGAAGAATAATCCTGTCTGTTCCTTGATTGGTTAGTAAGATACTACCTAATAGTCATGTTGTATGTGTCTGTTTATAAACTTACTCCCAGCAAGCTTAATCAGCTGTCTAATTATCTTCTAAAAGCATTTTCTTGCTGCAGTAAAATACTGGCTCAACTAAGACTACAGAAATGTTGTTTACTTAGAGATGGCGTTCTTGGTATGCTGCAGAGCGTGGTTAGTCACAGCTAGAAAGAATTGTAAAAGTGCATGTAGGGACAAGCCTAGGCAGCCTAGTAGTTTGGAGAAGAATTGAGAAAAATTGAGTGTTATTTAGTCTTCTTTCTGTCCATTCTGGGTTAAAACCTAGTGGGTTTGTTCTTTTTCCTTTGTGTCTACTTCCTGTTAATTAATGTAACTTGTTGCAGTAGGTTTATGCTGTGTCCACCTTGCAGTAGCTAAATGTAAGAATCTTACAGTATTGTTCCCCACCCCAACATGATCCTGGGAAAGACTTGTTGCTTACACTGTTGGATTTTTAGCTGTGCTGATGTGCAGGGTGCTTACAAAGTGACTATGGCATCATCTTGGGTTTACATTTGTTCTGAGCATACTTTATATTCCATTTCAGACAAACGAATCCAGCTCTTCATGAGAAGCTTGCTTGCTCTTCCGAGTTTTCAGAAGTGTATGCCTACTATGCCAGGAGGCCTTTCTGTGATTCAGACAGAGATGGAGTTTCTGGGGTCTCAGTATGCAAGCATTGTAAACTTCAATAAAAAGGTGTATGGACCATTCTATGCAAACATACTTAGAAAACTTCTTTTTCCTGAAGCAGCAATGGAGAAAACAGAAGCAGAAACACCTAGCAATTAAAACGTGGACCCTTTTTTTAATCTTCCAAGACAGTGGAGAAGTCACATCTCTAAGAACAGCCTACTCAAATGACTGTTGATGGGAAAAAGTCTTGTAAAATGTATACAGATAGTTTCTGAAATTCACTGTAAAGAAAGTCAAGGTCATATATATATATTTTAATAGAAAAATATTTGTTTAATGGATTGCCACTTGTAATAGCCAGTGAATTATTAATTTCCATAGCAAGCATTTATTATGACTCACAGTGGGAAAGAGCTGGCAATGTACTTACTGTTTTGCCACCATCAAAACAATGTTTCAGCTGAAATATATTTACATACAATGCATATTAGGAAATGACAAAACAACTGTAAATAAAATGTACTATGCTTACACTGTATTTTTGTAGAGTAACATCTCAGATGACAATTATGTTTTTGACAATACTTTGAAGAAGAAAGTTACAGCATTACTGATTTAGTAACCAAACCCAGGTTCATACTAGGCCAAGTTCAGGTACTCCTGCAGTTACTGGACCCAGAACTTTGCCTCTGTTACATTAAGGAATGCCAATGTTACAAGCTGTTTGAAGGATAGCAGTTACAGAAGCGGCATTCACCACTTACAAGCAGGAATCATTCAGAACTTCTCAACTCTTAATTAAGATTAATGATAAACACCTAAGAAACATGATGGGGGGCTGGAGTAAATGTCTGTATATAGTCTTTATAAGCATTTTGTTTATTCAGTGGAGGTCATACAGATCTTTAATACATGTATGTACTGATCTTTGATCTTAATGAATGGGTATTAAGTATTTTTAAGTTAGGTCCTCTTAACCTTTATTCCCAAAACCACTTAAGACTGACCTTACAGTGCACCACAGAAGAACCACCCCTTTCATGCCCTTATCCAACAGAATGTAAGTTTTTCATAAGATATTCTTAGGCCTGAAAGCAAGAACCCAAGTACTTAGTAATTTTAAAAGATATTATTAGATTCACTTCTTTACGGGGTGTGTGAGAAATGCTCCGATTTTCCTTAAATTTCTTTGGACTGGGCCGCAATACTTAGTTCCCATTTAAGGCATTGGGAGTCCTGCATACAGAAAATTAAATAGACTGAAATTGAGAAATGTGGAAGTGAACTTGTTTAAATTTACACAGGCTTTATTTTGCATATTTCAGATTACTGGGATTAGGTAGTGCTGGAATACATATTATGGACATGTTCTTGTCTATGAAATTGAATAATTTACTTGAAAATTATATTTTAATATATTACCATATAATACTCCTTTTAAGATGTCATATATGGAAGACCTCAGTGTGGTACAAGTTAGAGTTTGTTTTTAATATTTTATATTATAATCTATTTTTTATGAAGAGACAAAACCTGTAAAAGTGTAATGTCTCACACTAATTGTTTATGCACATTATTGTGTCTATTATAAAGGTCTGAAAAAAACTGGGCATTTATTAGCACTGTGGTTTTCTAGTCCATTTCTACAGGAATGTATACTCTTTATAGCAAAGGAAATTACTTCTATTCAGTTGCTCTTCAGTGTCCAAGGACTTTGGTCACATGTACATGTTAAGGTACATTTATGTGTTACTTTGGTTCATGTACATATTACTTTATTCAAAATGCCTTTCTAGAGTAATTTCTCTAGTGCACTTCTGTTCTATTCCTTGTAAAAACATTGCACAAAAAAAAGATGAACACATATTTTAAAGGGAACTGTTTTCTGGAAAACCTGAGAGAAAGGAAGTCTTAGACTATAACTGTGCCACTAGGTAAGCCAGGCTTGCTCAGATGAATACAAAATTTTGGTAGGCAATTCAAAATCATTAAGAGAATGCATTTCAGAAGCAGCTAGGGGGAATGAATCTTAGTGATTTGCTACAACTTTAGAAATACCTACATGATTTTGAGCTTCAGCCAAAAGAGGATTTTATGAACATGTGAAGGTGATTGCTAATATGATTATGAACTTTTTATTTTAATATTTTGTATGCATTCTATTTTACAAACAAGTATCAAACTATAGCTCTTTAATGAACTGGGGAAACTGTCATACTAGTTTTTACCAGTAAGTACTCAAAAGATAGCATTTATTGGGGGGTTTGGTAATTAAGGTGACTTGTAAAGGGCATTTTATAGCATGGCCTGTGTTTCCAGTGATTGTTTAATGTGTTTTAATTTAATGTTTCAAACATGGACATTGCATCTGTTTAATGTCATGTGTTGCATGCTGTTTATGCTACTGTGGCTGCAAAGAACTTGCCTCTACTCTAAAGTTGTCCTTGTGAAACAAGATGCCATTCTGTAGTAGCTTTGTTAAAAAACAAGTATTTCAGGGTTTGTATGCATTAAATTTTGTTTGTGATACCATCAGTGGTGAAAAGTCATTTATACAAACATTAAATGCAACAGATTGTTAAATGCCAAAGAGAAATGACTCCACTAATTTTCTGTTGTGACCATTTTTTCTGTTACTTCTCAGTAGCAGCTCCAGTGTAGACTAGTGACTTTAACCCAGCTGTACAACTAATATTCGAAACAGTTGGCTGCTTAAATCTGACTCCTTGGGCCACGATGTATTGGGTTTGCACGGTGGAGTTGGAGGTGGCGTGGACTGCAGGGGTGGCTTCTGTGAGAAGCTGCTCCAAGCTTCCCCCCGTGTCCGACAGAGGCCTTGCATGGATTAAACATGGATTGCCACGTATTAAATCAAGTCTCCACTGACTGTGCGCTTTAGACAGGAAACCAAATGGAAGGAGTCTGAAATGTTACTCCTCTTTAGGGTAGGGGCCTTAGTGCTCAGGATGGGTGGAGCCCGGACCCAACCCCATGAACGCTACACGTGTGGAACCCGAGCCAGAGCAGACGTGTATGTGTGCTATTTTCACTGCCTGCTCTTGGAACTTGTTTACCAGTTACTACATTTACATATAAATATATATATGTATTTCTCAAAACCTTACTACCACAGGAATCTGCAGAGATCACTAGTGCTTCTTGTTTCATCTTGAACTGGGGCAGATGAGTAGCTCCGCATTTGACCGCAATTTTGGTGTCTCCATAGCACAGGCCCTTGCAAAGGAGAACAAATAAATTTGTGATTCAGCAAGAGGATGAAAGAAGAATAAACGCTACAAGCTGATGCCCTACGTTGCTTTACATGCTAAAAACTGCAGGAAAGGTGTTTCAAGCCCAACTCCTCCGTGACCCTGCCGCCTCCCGGGATTCAGGCGGGACCCCCAGGCGCTGCCAGGTCCGCAGTGCCCCGGGAGGGGCCTGGCACCGGGAGGGGCGGGCCGCAGTGCCCCGGGAGGGGCCTGGCACCGTGAGGGGCGGGCCGCAGT